CCCTAGATGAAATTAATATCAGCTTAGAAGATATGAGGAACAATAAATCGCCAGAAAACGTCGAAATTAGCATTGAAGAATATTGAAGATAATAAAATGGACAGAACGGGCTGAAACGATAACGATCGACTGATAAAAGATGTGCAGTTGCGATCGCAAAAAAAAACTCCCAAAGGAAATGCTGATTGATGATGTTAATAATGACTTAAAGTGGCAATATAATAATTAATTTAATAATTAATATTTAAATATTAACCTTTTTAATCAAATCCACGTTATAATATCTTGATGTTTAATGAGTTGACTGCATCACTATTAATTCTGCACTCTATCAATTCTGCATTTATTTCTTTGTCTATATTGAATTTTACTGTGAATTATTATACAGCAAAAGCTTCGATTTGTAACTTGAACTGGAAATCCAACCTGTGACTAATATAACCGACACACTTAAAACATTTTTTTAGAACCATTTTTAAACACATTTAAATATCCAATTTCAATCCCTTTCGTTTGGTGGCTTTTTTAACTGTTCAAGGTTCAAGTTTAAGTCGGCAACATCAAAAGTATGACAAATTTGGAACAGTTTGTACCACCTTACATCTGGTGGTAGTTAGCACATGTGGATGACCTTTTGAAGTACTGGAGTGTTTTGAATACGACTAGAATTTCAATGAAAATGAGTTTCGTCTAAATCGTTGTAAACTTGATTGCATTAGTTCAATTATGATATTTATCTTTGTACTTGCCTTGTAGTAGAAGGGTTGATTACTTTAAAACAGAAAATTGGAAGTGTTTAAATGCTCTCTCCGCAAAGAAAAGCTGTTGAAATGACCTGGAATAAGATTAAAAACTATTGTTATGAAATCAGCGATAGTTATTCCCTGATTCCCAAAAATATTTTCGCAATTCCTGCGACTTAAAACTCGAAGCTCAAAGATACACTTTCCGTGTAAAAAGCTTCTTTAGCTTTGGCTTTACCCGGCTATTAATCAACTGGTTTTACACCCGGACATAAATGTGATCTTGGCATCGTTACGAAGGTAAAACCCCAAACACCTCATTTATTTGGTTTTATTAGGCGCCTGGTGTCAGCTGAAATGCATCCTCGGTTAGTTAATGAAAATAAACAGCAGCAGTATTGCAGCTTTCGAAAACCACATTTTGGTCGTAAACGGGCAAAAGTGAAAATACGATTTTAATTATCTTGACGAAACTGGCCATGTGAACGGAACAAGCAACTTGACGAGCCAATTTTTCGATACCTTAATGGCTTTTTCTGGTTTTGTTATCTCAATTAGACCGAATTGGTCGAAAACAGTCATATTCCGTTTCGTCGACTTTGGTTGCATAATAAAATATTCTATCAATTTAAAATTACGTGATTTGGAAAAATTATTCATAGGCAAAGAACAATTTGGCAGAAGTCTGATGAAAACATAATCACCTTTTAATGTTGAATTTTCAAATTTGTAAACATTAATTGGAAATATTTTTAGTTCTTTCCTTTCTCCAACAAACGTGTACACTTCTATTGCACTTAAGGTAAAAGTGTTTTTTTTTTAAATATCATATATGTTCATTACCGAAACATTAAGATAAATCGGCGGCCTACACGTTAATAGTATAATAACGACAATAACAGTTTAATATTTGTTACAGTTAAATGTCTTAAACAAAAAGTCATGCGAAGCGATTAAGGTAACGGTTATGGCACACGAATCGCCTTTTTTACGCCAATTAAACCGAATTAAAATGCTTTTCTTTACTGACTGTCGTGAGAATAGAAATTTAGGGTCATTAGAATGTGCGGAATTCAAACTTCCAGTTGTAATTATTATAGCGTTGGAATTGTCGCACTTTTTTACTAATCTTTTTCCTGTGGCTAATCATGATGATGATGGTTTTATTGTTTAACTGATTCCGCAATTCAGTGGTTAAATGGGCTACAGTTGCCATTAATTGCATTTGGAATCTTAACTGCATTTTGCTACTTATTTCGTTGCTATAAAATATTCTTTTCGATTTATTATACACATTTACTGGCCAATTAACTGTTTTACTATATCACTAAAAAGTAATTAATAATAAATCTGAGAAACTATTAAAATGCCAGTTTCAAGCAACTCTTTAGGCGACATTGAGTGTCAGCGAAAGATCACAAGATTATCGATCAAAATTATCCCCTCGTATATGAATATAGTCTACCAGAGGAATACTGCTCTTGTCCGGGTAGCCCAATAATATTATATATGTAAATACAAGTACGCAGCTTCATCGTTCAAAGTTATACCATCGTATATATGATTGAAAAAAGAAATACAAATTAATGTTTGGAATAGCAAATTACAAAATGGTTTCACGCTTTGGTTTCCGCTTTTGAATATTCATTTGTTGCCGAATGTATAACGTAGGCCTGTAGCATATACTTCAATTATGAACAGTGATAGTATTTGTTTCTGAAATGTACCTCTAAATCGCTTCAATGGATATCATTAAATAGAGGTTGATAAACCAATATTTATACGTGCAAAGTCAACGACATATTTCAAATTCTCTTTATACAAATATTTAAAAGTGCTTGAAAGAAGAACATAATCAAAGACCGATATAGACAGGCTTAAAGTTATTGTAATTTATTTTCGATCCTTTTAAACGTTTTGTTTTACTGTTTTTTTGAAAATACGATGAAAGATGATTTTATTCTTGGATACTGGATATAAATGAAATGCTGTTATTTCAACTACCAACGATTTGCACCTTTATTTACGTAGGTTAGAGGTAACAAAATTAGAGGTACTGATCTTTTTTTCTGTGAAAAACGTCGAGTGCATAAATAGCTTTTAGCTAAATCAAATTATCAGCAATAGTCGGAATATTGCCTTAATTTAGGCAATAACTATTATTATTACCAGTTACGAAAACATTTGGACAATCTGGATTTTCTGGAATAATACAGGGTGTCCGGAAGGTAATATACCCTTTCTCTGGCTCAAATGAAGACCATTTGACCGAACTTTTATTAACAAAAACAGTCCGGCTCCTCTAATATGAATGGTCAAATTTCTTAAAAAAAAACATGTTTTTTGCAATATCGGGAAAATGGTACAATGGTTTTTAATGAAACTCGCAGTGAATTTGTTCCTATGTAAGATTCATGTTTTGATGAAGCTACCGAGTTCACCTACTTTTTGGACAAGTGATAAATTCTTAAATTTCTTGGTACAAAAACCACCAGAACTTTTTGTTGGGTAACTAGAATTAATTGAGCTTTTTGAGTTGAATTTAGCATTTTGACCATTTTTGGATTCATAGTTTTTGAGCAAACAAATTTTTCTGTTTGTTGTGTCTTAGTAAGCGATAATGCTTTTCTTAAATAAATTAATTGGCACGGATTTTATAGTTTTTAACTGACCGACAATGGCAAAGTATTATGCCCAGTTGTCGTTTGGAAGCGTTTTCGTACGAATTGCGTTCATCAGAAAGCTCACGAAAAGAAGATGCGAGTTTTTAGCAAAATATGGCTCCGACGTAGGAACCAAATCCACAGTCCAAAAAACGTAATTTAAGTTTTATTAATGTAAAAAGTTAACAAATTTCTAAAATTGTCAGTTGGCAAAAGGACAGAAATATTTTTTGTGAATAAACTATGCATGCTACAAGATTTTGTAAAAAGGACAAAAATGTCCTGAAAAGATTAGCGCATCAACTCCAAAAAAACACTTGATTCTAGCTGCCAAATAAAAAGTTCTGGTAGTTTTCGTACCCCGACACTGACAAATTCCTGACTTGCCCAAAGCGGATGAACTCCGTTGGTTCATCAAAACATGATTCTTAGAAAGGAACAAATTCACAGCCAGTTTGCTTAAAATCCATCGTACCATTCTCTCAATATTTCAAAAAGATAATTTTTTTGAAGAACTCTTAACATCAATACCAGAGGAGCCAGACATTTTTTCTTAGTAAAAGTTAAGTCAGATCGTCTTTCTTTGATCTGAGGAATATCGCAGTACCCTTTTGATTATGTGTTTACAGGACACCTTATGTATTACAGCTTTAGACCTTCAAACTAAAAAGAATTATTTCCGAAGACATTTCGGTTCTTGAATATTGATTGAAAATTGTTAAAAGCATATTTCAAAAGTAATATGTTGTAGGCAAAAGCATATCTGTAAACGACACCGGGCACAGTCTATTTATTTCGAAATATTTAGGGCCGCAAAGAAGTGATCGATTAAGTGAGAAACGTTCTCTGTTGGTTTTGGTAAAAGTAACCCCATGGTTATTACAGTTTTATAATCTTTTGTCAAGATGTTGGTACGATCTAATTGCATGCAGCTATATATTTTATACCTGTCAATCTTAAATTATTAGTCAGTGAATCCACAAATGAGAAGAACTTTTCCATTACATAAACCGCTTATAAAGTCGCTTGACAAAATAAATAGAAAATAAAAATTAACTTTGCTGTAATCAAAACATATGCTATCGCGGCTATTTCTGGAAGCTGGAGAGTTTTTCGGCCATTGCGGACTAAAATTTCTCCTAAAAAAAAACGAGTGTAAATTGTCCCCTGTACTGGAGCTATTCAGCAAAGCCATTTAAAATAACTCGATATTATTAATAAAGGGGCCGATAATCACGAGGGCCGACTCATCGGTTTTTCTGAATAAATCTGAATGTTTTAAAAAACTACGCTCGGGCTCTGTTTCATACTTTACGGTTTTGGGGCCGTTAAACCAGGATATTACAATTCTGGAAAAACTAATTAAATATAATTATTCTAAATTATTAGTTTCTTTTAACTTTCATTAGATTGAAAAATCGCTTAGACAACTTTCATAAGATCGCACTTATTTATTATAAAAAACTGGAAATTACCTCTTTGTCGTCCAAACTTTAAATATATTTTTGGTTGTTCTTAGGTAAAAACACATTGCCATAACTCAGTTTTGTAAACTTTAAGCTGCAAATTTGATATTAGTTTAATTTACACTTACTTATAGCATGCCCTGATCAGAGGGTGGCTCAGTGTCTTCTTGAATCGCGTCTACCATATTTGGATGTAAGATCCTAAAAATAAATATAATATTAAAGATAAATATAAATACACTTAGTTAGTGGTTATTTTTTCTCCATTTCTTATTTTCTAATTACACTTTGCCTCATTTTGGAGCTTTAACTCAACTGATTTTGAGAAAAGAAAAGTTGAATGAATGAGATAATTATAAAAATTCTTGCTTCATTCAATCATTTTTTAATTATTTATTAGCGACAGCGTGCGCTTTGTTTTTCGTTGATATTTATTTATGATATGCTAATCGGAACTCACATAATGACTATATGCGTAATTATGTTAATGCAATAAGTTTTTTAATATCACTGAAAAAACTGACACTCCAAATGTAATTTACAAATGATCTTGATTTTTATGAAAGAACGCAACTTGATCGAGTAGTTACATACAGGACGATTAAATTTCCACTAGGTAACAGAACAATTTCCTTTTTAAAGCTACTTTTTGCTCCTTTATTCTATATTAGTTTCTTCTCCCAAAGAGTAGACATGCTGGCCCTTTGTTACTATCGTGGTAAATACCAAAATAAAAGTGAGGCGGTTGATAGACTTTAGTTGTATTTTGATGGCATTTACACCAACACACGACGGTGGAAGGATACTTCGATCATCGGTCCGCTTTATTGCAAGTACACTAAATGGCACTAATTACTTATAATTACTGCAAGAAAATATAACACAGGGAATTTGCTAGATTATATCCAAGTGTCCACAGCCACACTGTTCACAATCTGTTGGGATATTATTTTAATACAATTTCCTCAAGCAAGTATATTGATAGAATAGGGATAGAGCCTGCCAGATCTCCCGACCTGACACCCTTCGATTAATTTTTTTATTGCCAAAATATTTGAAAATCGCTTTGCTGATTGTCAGCAAGTCAATGGGGCCCAGTTTGAACATTTACTTTAATTTTCTTCGTTTTTTGTAACTTCTACATGTTTTTATTGCGTCTGCAATTGCATTTTTCTTCCTTCATCTGTACAAACTCATGAAACTTGTTTAATTTATAATTGATTATTGCAGAAATATTTTATTTACTACGTTTGCAATTACAAATAATAATGTTCAAGCGTGGAAGTTTTTGTCATTTAATCTTCAATTCTTCAATTACTATCAAATATTTATTACCCTCAGTTCAACGCGTTTTTTGTATCGTAAATAGATTATTAAATTCTTCTTCTTCGATTATTCAAATCTGATTCATAATGTTAAAAGTGTTGTTAAATATCTAGTTGTTTTGTCAGTTTTCCCAAATATTGATTACTTATGCAGCACGTGGGTACTGGGGGGATCACCAAACATTTTCTGCTTTAAAACATCGCAGACTTATTTTGAAAGCTCCCGGGGATCAAAGCAGTTTTAACAGAAATGAATCACATGTTTAAAAAAGATAAAATCACGAATTTTGCTCATGTTCTGAGTCATGTTCCAGGTGTGTTTTGATTTTGGAAAACTAGATCATCTTTCAAAAACCTCTCTTCGCAATTTATACATGTTAGAATCGAGTAAATAATTATACATTTAGACTATAAACATCGTTTTGATTGATCCCATTACTCTATACTTTGTTTTGATTATGTCTATTAAGCGGTACACTTTAATAGTGGTAATTTGCTGGAAAGCGAAAAGTCACATATGCTTTTTGCGTAACATGTGCATATACTAGGGCTGTAAGGCAGAAGATATTCAATAATAATGAAATTTATTGATGTAAGCATTAAATATAAGAAAACAGTGCTTATTATTATTGACCAGTGTGTTAACTATTTTCGAAATGTTTCACTTTTGTATTACATATTTTCGGAGTTTATATAAAAGACTTGTGTACATAAGCTATATTAGTACTAGATGGTTTCGTTGAATTTTTGAAATTAAATTTGGACTATTTTTTCAATAAATATGGTTTGGTGTCTAACAACCCCAACGACGTCGCCTAAATTATTCATTACCGCCACCTATTTTCCTGAAAGCAATTTTCAAGCAGAAATTCCCTCCCCTCGTATTTAACTAAGGGATACATACATTGCCTTAACAGGTTGAGCCACCCCTCTAAAGGTAATGTGGTTAAGCTTATTTCGTGTGAACCTGTTTGCTTTTACTCCGGTCGTTGAGCTTTGAAACTTGGAATAAAATATATTTTTTGAATATTTTGAGAGAAGTTGGGAGATTGGCAACGTTTCCAAACGTTGCAGTGCAAGAAATTAATGTTTTTAGTTTTATACATGTGGGAAAAAAAATTAATCATTACACGCTGTGCGAACACAAATGTAATATACGAAAATTACTTTAAAAAAATAAACAATAAGAATATCGAATATTAGCAACACTAAGCACTTGAAAATGTTATGAAAACATTATATTGAATGAATGAAACACTTCAGTAGAGACTATTCGAATCTTCTTGCAACATTAAGCTGTATTTTAAAAAATCTTGTTTTGATAGAAAATTCAAACTTAAATAATTTAGAAAATTACTATAAACCTGTTACAATCAAATCAAATAGGTATATGATATTATATGCAATCGTAAGCTAAGAAGGCATTAAAAGTTAATAAGAAAACGAATAACTCGCACCAAAATGGGTCGATAAAAATTAATCGAGACCGAAAAACCAAATTATTATAGCAAATCAGAGGCCTGGAAGTCCGACCCGACTAGAATACTATAAAACAGAAAGATAATCAGAATAAACGGGTATCCAAAATAAATAATCCACCACAATGCTCCAAATCGCAACGAAAAAATTCAAAGGGCTTCATCATGTTTACTTTCAAGTGGGTTCGCAAATAAATAACAGATACACCAAATGGTGTTAAATGCTCCAGTTACATACGGAAAAATATGTAAAATAACCAAATGAACTCCAACAGCTACTAACTCGTTGACATCCGAAAACGCCACCTTACACTCTGATAAACACAAACATACACAAGGGTGGTTTCTAGACCATTAATCTAAACTATATGGGAACAGTTTAGCCATTCGTCTTGTGTTTATCATTTTCGCTTTTTATTTGAGATCACGAAATTGTGTCTGGCGTAAAATGGGATGAGAATTTGAAACTAAAGAATGGAGAAAAGTAGTTGAAATAAATTTAGACCAAAACGCTTTAGACATCTGCTATAGTCGTAAAATATTGTTTAATATGATATTGGAGGACCATTTTTCATTTGAGTTCTAGATCATTTTAATTTTGAGAAAAAAACTTTAAATTTTCAGAGAATTTTATTAAACTATCTAGTAGACAAACTTAAAATATCTTATTTAGACTCTCAATTTTATAATTTGAAGGAATATACATACACAATCACACTAAACATTTTTAAAATAAAATGGGCAAACACCTTCAAGTATTTGTTAAATGATTTTAATTAAAGGGGCCACACGGTGTTTAAATCTAATCGCGTGCTATGCACATATACATTTCGAGAATGAATGATTAACTAAAACTACCTTGAATATTGGTTAAATAAACTAACAGTAAAGCAATGCTAATTGTTAAGTAATAATGTCACTCTAGTAATTACAGTCGATCGAACAACGTTCATTTATGGACTGTTGTTCTTCAAACCTGAAAAATGGTTGTAACCAATTCCCAATTGCAAGTCCGGCAAAACTACTAAGCGAGCAATTATATAGTCGATTGGTATTTTTGTCATTAGAAGTTTGTTAAAACATGAATGCAATGCCCGGAATAAGCTCGGTGAAAGACATTAACAAATGCTTTGTTTGCTGCTAGAATTCTTAATATAATAGCATTATATTCTATTCTATTAAGACTTCTAGAAGAAAAGTCTCTTATTATTTTAGTTTTGCTAAAAACACACATTTTAATTCCCAAAACGTTAGGTAAATGCTGTATAGTTTATATTCTGTTCTTGCATTCGAAAAGTGTATGTTTCCTTTTCGAGAGAAAGTTTAACATCTTATTTTTTTTTATTTCACTAGATAGGAATTCACTATTTGTAATTTAATTGGTTTGTACCAATAGTAGACATACACTTTTGATTTGTTTGTGTAAGAATTAAGCTCAGAGCTGTTTCAATTTTACCGCTTTATTTGCGGTAAATTTATTCAACTTTATTAGATATTTCGAGATTTCATTTAAATTATTTTTTTCTTAGATCTAAAGAGTTTCAACATTTCCATTTTTATCTGGCTCTTTGACGCATTTTAACGTTCATTTTGAGGCTTACCAGGGTATATTTATTTACACCTTAATGACAAGTTGTATTTGTAAATGTTCCCACAGAAGTCTCATTTGGGAGTGTAGCTGGTTTTATCCAATTTTTTTTTAATCGGTTTTGTCTCATCCCACTCTTTACTTGCCAAGTTATGTTTTGTTGCTTTGATTGTCCATTTCGATGCAATTTTGTACACAGTTCGTTTTAATTTAATTCTTTTCCATCCTTATTAAGAACAGTCAATTTGGTAAACTTAATATATTTTACTGATATTTTCTTCGTGGATTCTGAGCCTCTTTCAAATCAACTTTTTCGCTTTTTGAAGTTTGTACTTCTATTTGCCTTGTTGTATATTAATTTCAACTATTATCTATTTTACAACTTTACATTTTATTATTAGGTGTTCGCAGTTCGCTAAGGTTAGTGAACGATTTAGCATACATTTTCCACGCAATCATATTCCTATTTTTTTTCCAATTTGTGGTTACATTTCAAATCATTAAAGTTTCCACACGATTAAAGGGTGTTATGTTACCACACGATTAAAAAAAAGTAAAAGTTCAATTTCCCTCTCTGCAGTCCATTTTCCAGCATTTAGTATCATTAGTTTTAATCAATTTTGTTATTTTCCGCAGTTATATTTTTGTCTTGTCAATTTGTCAATTGTAATAGGAATGCTTCAGAGATTTGATATTTATTTGTTCGTAGTATTTTCAAATTCTCTATGATGATTATATTAGTGCTTTGATTTCTATCAAACCTTCAATTTTGGTGTGTCCCTTTTTTCCGAAAATCGTGTTATTATCGTT